GGCCATGGACCTGTAACAGGAAGTGGAGTGCGGCTCTGCCCCTCCCTCATGGAGATTCTGAATCCTGTGAAACTTAAGAAACCGTCTGAGGACTCGCTGGCTGTTCTGCTTTCTCTGGAGTGACCCTGAAAGGATGGGGGCAGGCAGGCAGGGATGATGTGGGATCCACCTGGGCAGCAGAGAGAGCCTGAATCCCAAGGTCCCAGAACCCCTGCTGCAACTGAGCTTCCCAGACCCCAGGCTCTGCCTGCTAGCCCGTCTGTGGAAGGGAATGCCACTTTGGGACACCTGTTCCCAGCACCAGGATGTGCCTAAAGATAGCCAGAGCGTAGTTTCCTTGTGCCCTTTGAACTTTGACATCTGCCCATTGCTGCTGCCTCTGAGGCTCCATAGCAGGTCCCCTGGGCACCCCTAGTGGTTGCTCGAGATTCTATTCCTGCGTCTTTCTCAGTTCTGCTTATGACCCTGGGCTACACTGTCCTCAGGACTCAGGTGGAACCAGTGCTGCCTCCATGTAGCGCTTGTCTCTGAGGAGCGCCGTCCGTCTTCGTTAACCTGGGCAGCTCTACCTGGACTTCTTTAGCTGCCGTGGTCCCCAAAGGGCAGATCATGAGGATGCTCCTTCTCTAAAGGCCACAGTGGGGCAGAGCAGAGGGAGCTGAGGGCCATGCGTGTAAACCAGGGGCACTGGGGCCCGCCCAGGTCTGTGACTCCTGCTGCCATTTGTGTCCTGGGATGCAGGAGTGGGCAGCTGGCCCTGGCCACGAGGTCCTCCCTTCCACCCCCCTTTGCCCAGGCTTGGGGGTGAAGACATGGGCCCCCTGGGTCTCCTCGGTGTCTACTATGTATCAACCTTGGAGCCTCTGCAGGGCTATCCATGCAGCAGGTGCCCCGTGGAGGGCAACTTCCCAGCACATGCCCAGGCCCACATGCCCACTGCACGTGTTCCTCCCCCCACTCCCAGCCCAGATGGTCTCTGCCAGGCCAGCTCAGCTGCCTCCCTCATGCCTCAGCAGCTCCTAGGACAGGGCCATGCAGGAACCCAGCTGGCCAGGGTGTTTCCAAGCCTGGGAGCAGCTGGGATGGTTGGCAGCACCAGGGATGGGGGTGGGGGTGGTTCCTTTCATGGAGACCTAGTGCCTCTATTTATACACATGTAGGGTCAGGTTGCCTGGGGCTCAGAGGACAGGGAGCGGGTAGAGAGGAGCTCAGGACAGGAGACGAGCCTAGAGAGCTGCAGCCCATGGGGTTGCAAAAGACTTGGACACGACTGAGCAACTAAACCACAATAAGCACATAGTAGGTGCCCAGAAATGGGGGTGCTTGCTCACCTCATCTTGCTGAAGCCAGCTTGGGCAGCCCTCTCAAAGGTCACTTCCCTAGGCTCTCCAGGAGGGGGCAGCAGGGAGCCATCCTGAAGGGAAGGAGTCCTGCCTGGGACTGCCTGCTCCTTAGGGAGGCCTGGCTCCAGCCCCAGACAAGGAGTGGAGTTCAGTGGGCCATCCTGTGGACCTCCTGACCCATGGCTAGTTTTCTTGGAGGGAAATTCCCCTCTAATTGCACTGGGTAAAATCTCCTGAGCTTTGCCAAGCAGTAGCCCCACCCTGGAAGACAGCCCCTGGGGTGATAATTTCTGGAGCATCTCCAAGTTTTGTGCTTTTGGAACTTTCCAGAAAGCTCTCCCTAGTCTAGATCAAGTTGCCCAGTCCACACCATGCCCCAAATGTAGCAGAATACCTAAGTGGGCGGAGTCTCTTACTCCCTGCTCTGTCGCTGCTCTGAGTTCAGTTCTTGGCACCTACTTGGTGCTCAGGAAATGACCCGTCCAATGACTGAACGACTGAATCTGCCCAGAGGTCATTTTGCCCAAACCTCACTGGGAGGCAATGGCTCTATGGCCTCCACCATGAGTCTTGAGGACGGTGACCACATCGTAACCGTCTTTGACTGTCTATAGCACCTCACAGGGCCTTCCCAGGTGGCTCAGTGGTAAAGAATCTGCCGGCCAGTGCAGGAGGTGCAGGAAACACTGGTTCAATCCCTGGGTCAGGGAGATCCCCTGGAGTAGGAAATGGCAACCCATGCCAGTATTCTTGCCTGGAAAGTTCCGTGGACAGAGGCACCTGGCAGGCTACAGTCCATGGGGTTGCCAAGAGTCAGACACGACTGAGCACGTATGCAGCAGCAGCAGCCCAGGGACACTGGGCCCTGAGGCTCTGAATGCTGGCCCTCGGCTTAGAGGACGTGGACCTGCTAGGACTTCAAGTGTCACTGGGACCTCAGCCGCTCAGCCCTGACTCTCCACCACAGCGTGGAGAAGGCTCGAGCCCTCTGACCGGCAGGGGAAGCCCTGTGCCTTTTGATGTCCTGGCCTCCTCTGTCCCAATACTCTGTCCTACCTGCTCCCAACCCCAACTCCAGTCTGCCACTTCCTGGCTGCAGCTCATCTGTCCATGTCTCCCAATCCTTCTATACTTCCTTTCTCCCTCCTCTGGGAAGTCTTGTTTTTTTTGTTTGTTTGTTTGTTTTTTATGATTTATTTTTTGACCGTGTCATGCTTGGCATGTGGGATCTTAGTTCCCTGAGGAGGGATTGAACCTGTGCCCCCGGCAGTGGAGGCACGGGAAGCTCGGAGTCTTAAGACACTGGACCTTGAGGGAAGTCCATGGGAAGCCTCCTCGATCACCTGTTCTTGCCCTCACCACACCCCTGCATATGACTGCACTGAGGCCCCTGCCCCAAATAGCACCAACAACCCATCTCCCTTCTGGACTGTGACCTCCTCGTGGCAGGGTCTCAGGGCCGTTCATACCCCATAGGCACACAGGGCCTGGCAGAGTGGACGCCATAAATGTTTGTGGAATGAATGAACGAGGCCTGCCCCCCAGCCCACAAAGCCCTCTTCACATAAGCTCCCCAACAGGACGTGGGGAATTTCCTCCAGGATGTCCTGTTGTGCCCTCACACCCACCCAGCTGGGACAAGATGTTCCGAACACCCCCAGCAGCAGCCTCGCTTCAGGCCAGCTCTGGGACTCCGTTCTCTGTCAGCGCAGTGCTCAGGGGTGCCAGGCCGCCCTTCCCAAACGCAGCTTGATGACGACAGCCCTGGGCTCAGGGAACTGCCATGGCTCTCCTTTGGTTCTGCAGGGCTAGCTCTACGCTTCATTCGTGCAAGCCCTCTGAGGAGTCACCTACCCCCTGGAGACTGCCACGTGGCCGGTGAGCCCCCCTCACACCTGTTACCCTCGTCACAACGGCTTTCCCTCCAGCTCATCTGGAGCTAAGGGCCTCTGCTGGCGCTCTCTGCTCACCAGGAAGCCACCCCTCTTTGCCCCGACCCTCCTCGTCTGACCTGCCTGACTGCTGGAGCCTCAGTGCTGCGGTGTAAGGACGCGCACACACTCACTAAGCTGTGCGTCAGCCTCTGCTGAAGTGGACCTCGAGCTCCTTGTGTTTCTTCCCACACGCCTGCCCTGCTCCGTTCCCGGCGCCCTCCCTAGACTGCAGACCACTGCCCTTCGGCGAACAGGGAGGGCTGAAGATAGGCTCCCAGGTAACCCCTAGAAGCCCGGGTCCCATGGGGAGCTCCCCTCCTAATTCCTCGCTGGGGCTTGTCCTCGGGAGGGTCTGGTGGGGTGCCTGAGAGACACTGCCAGGCAGGGCAGGAGGCTGCGAGCTCTCGGTGATTTGGGGTCACCCAGCACGCTCACGCAGCCGGGCGTGCTCCAAGGGTTATTGCAGTAGGGGTCTCAGTGATTTGGGGTCACCCAGCATGCTCACGCAGCCGGGTGTGTTCCAAGGGTTACTACAGTAGGTCCAGAGCGTCATGGACGAGAAGTAGTAGTAGAAGGCAATGCAGACGACCACATTATAGTGGATTCCGATGTATGTGGACACCAGCATCATGCTGTAGCCCACACCTAGGGGAGGGGAAGGGCAGGAGCAGCCTCACACCGAGCAGAAGGATGCGAAGCTACTTTTGAAGGGGCTAAGGGGCAGGCTTTCGTGGAGGGCCACAGACGGGGGCAGACCAAAACCTTGGCAGGAGCAAGCTGGAGGCTGAGTGGAGGAGAGGGCTAAGGGCTTTTGTGTATGCCTCTGGTAGGATGAGAGGGTGGAGGCCAAGTAAACAATGGATCCCAGCATGGGTCCCTGGCCTTGGCCATTGATGTGGGCCTCGGGTCAACACCTGGGTTCCATAGGGGTTGGCAGTCTTTATACAGATGAGTGAGTCAGCACGGCCCCCAGAGGCCCTTGTGTGTGTGTGTGTATCACATCCGGGCCTCACCTTTGAACATGGGGCTGATCCTCCAGAACCCCAGGCAGCCCTGACTTGCAAACTGGCCTAAGGAGAGTTCCATGAAGAAGAGGGGCATCCCGCAGAAGATGAGCATGATGAAATTGGTGATCATGAAGTCTCCTGGTGGGCAGGGAGAAGGCTGGCTCAGGGCCGGCTTTGGGGTATCCCACCCTCTTCCTGCTCAGAACCTGACAGCAGAAACTTTGCAATTGACTGGGCTTCCAGGAGGGTGTGCCATGCCCTGGACTAGAGCCTCAGTCTGAGGCACACTGCTCACTGCCTATTTTTGAACTTGACAGGGGTTCCCAGGAAATCTGCTCTGAGCTGAACCCAGGTCCCAGAGCCACCATGTTTGGGTGGGAATTGATGACTTAACCAAGCAATTTCACACACATTAGCCGATGGGGCCCTCAGATATCCCCGAACCATTTGGGAGTTGGCTGGTGAAATGCAGGGGGTATAAAACTGAGACTTGGGAAGTTGGGTTGCTTTCCTCTCTACCTTTTCTCCCCCCGAGGGCTTAGCCTGCCAGGCCGATCACCCCTAAGCCAGGGGTGGGGGCAAAGGAGATTAGGGCCAGAGGCCAGCCTGTCTGGAGTGGGGTCTGTGCCAGAAGGGGCTGGCTGGGCCCTGGTGGCTGGGCTCTATCCACGTGGGTGGTCCCTGCCCTGTGCCCACTGGGCACCTCCCCCATTGCACTAGCAGAGGTATGGGAAGCAGCAGACACTGCCCAGGCCCACGGCATAGCCCACGCTTCTCATCAAGTCGATCCGGTTGCCCCAGGTGCCCCGCTGACGGCTGTGGTCCTCCTCGGCAGCCTCGCTGGGCGCAGCACCATTCTATGCAGACAGGAGAAAAGCCGCCATCAGCAAGGCACTGGCATGAGGGGCCTGACCCTTCAGGCCGCCCCCAGTGGGGACACCGTGGGCCCTCCAGGCCCCCACCCCCACCCTGGGCTTCCCTTCTGCTGGCGGGAGCTGCAGGCAGGCCTGGCAGAGGAGTACAGAGGGCAGAGTGGCTGCCAGAGGGTGCCAAGCAGGGCCTCCCTCACCAGCCCCCCAGCACCCCGTGCCGGGGGCACCAGCCCACCTGAGGAGCTGCTGCCAGCATCTGAGAGGTGGGACACTGAGAGGGAGCTCGAGTTGAGAGCCCCCAGCCCCAGCCCCTCCAAAGCCTCCCCTCTCCCCTCTGGGTGAGGATCTGGGAGCAGCTGAGCCTCATACCAAGCAGCCAAGCTGGGCTGGGCACAAAGGGGCCTGTGTCCAGACAGCCCACCAACCCGCCACCACCATATCGCCAGGCTGAGCACGCTGCCCATGGCAGGTGGCTGTCGGGGAGGGGGTGCTGGACCCCTGAGCCAGTGAAGGCTTTTTCTAGGGGGCATCTGGTGGTCAGGGCTGTAGGGTACAAGAAGGGGAAGCAACTGAGCTGGGCCAGACCTGAGGAAGGGACTCCTCAGGATGGGAAGGCCAGGGGAGCCACCTCTGACTGCCCATGACTGGGGAGGGGATCCCTGGGGAGGCTGACCTGGGCTGGGTTGGGGGGGGCGGAGACCAGAGTTGTAGGCACCATGCCTGACCTGGAGGACAGACTCTGGGCAGTTCTAGTTCCAGTTCCCTCAGGGGAACTAGAGGAAGTGACTCCAGAAAAGGGTCTCAGAGCTGAGAGAGCATGGGCTGCAGAAGAGGGGGCTGGTCAGGAAGGGCTGATGAGGGGGTTCACCCCAAAGGAAGGATGCGGGCTTGCCTGGGGAGCTGTGGGGCTGGACTGGGTGGCCTGAGGCCCCACTGAGGACCCCAGCCCCACAGCTGGGACTAACCCAGTAAGTCTCTTTATACGTGTGAGCAGACGCATCCCCCACGAGTCAGCCACCCTGAGCCAGAGCCTGAGGGGTCAGAGGAGTCTCACTAAGAGGCAAGGGAGGACCCTGTGAGTCCCTGAGCGACAGAGGCAGCCTCCCAGAGGTGAGCTGTTCTGGGAGAAATGGCCAGGGGCCCCTGGGGACACCCAGGATCAGAGACACAGCCGCACGACCTCTGGGGACAGCACGGTGGTGGCACTGACCCTCAGTCTGCAAGAGATTCACGGCGCACAGGCAAACAGACGGGCCTGCCGGGCTCTGACACGGGCCGGCAGGCGCAGAGTGGGGGGCGGTCTCACCGGGCCTGCGCCTTCCAGGAGGGCCCATTTGGGAAGGCAGGCCCAGAGGCCCCAGCACCTGATGGTGGCCCTCCTAGCCACGCACCCTTTGCTCTGAGTGGGCGCATCTGGGGGGCCACTTCGGGCTTGCACAGCACGGGGGCACTACTGCACAGACACCCTTGTCCTGCACAAAGGTGTCACTGCCCAGAGGAGACCCTGAGCCTCAGTGGTCCTGGGAGGTTTGGGGCCCAGTACCAGGAACCCTTCACAGGGCACCCAGAGCCGACCAGCAGAGCCTGTGTGCATCATTCATGGAGGTGGACAAACACCTACCATGTGCCGGGCCCCGCCTGAGGCTCAGGAAATTCCCGGGGAGGGAGCTGTCTCGGGCTGGCCTGGGCGCTGACGAACATTCCGCAGGGCCTGTCGCCTCCCCCTGAGATGCTCGCCCGCCCCTCCCCGATCCTCACCACGAAGCCCCTGTACCAAGTCCCCCTGCCCCTCACGCACTCTCCCCATAGGAGTAACTGCCATGGCGCAGACAATGGGGCTGAGTTGGTTAGTACGATGCCTGGGCACCTCCGGCCGTCGCGCCGGGAGGTAGGACAATGCACCTTTGGTACACAGGGCAGACTCTCAGCAGGCCCTTGGGCCGAGGTGGGGGACCCTCACACCCCCATTCTCCTCTCCCGTGCTCCGCCACACAGCCAACTCTTCCTGCTCCTTTGCACACTTGCAACTTTCTGCGTCACTTTTGCTGGTGTTTGCCTCTGACTGGCTGTGCCTGCCCGTCCCTGGCACAGACCACGCAGCCCCTCTCCCCACCCCCAGTCCTGCCTCCCCATCTGCCTGGAACCAGAGATGGGGCTCGACCTCCTGGAAAGTGACTGACCTGTTCTGGGGAGGAGGGGTCCACAGGTCCCTGAGCCGCCGCCATCCTGGGGTGAACACTTGTAACGGAGTGCGTGCTTCCCCTCCACCCATTCACACCTCTGCCAGCTCCTGGCGACACTGACGCATCCCCTGCCTCTTCCACTGCCTGCTGGGTGGCATCAATTACTCTCATCTCATCTCCTCCAGAAGCTCTGCCTGCCCCTCCCCTGGCAATCCCGCTCTGGCCTTACCCACGTCACCCAGCACGGATGCACCACAGCTGGAGTGAGGCATGGGGCTTGTTGTGTTTCTCTGTGTTGCCACATATACACACTCACAACCACCAGGTGAGGCAGAGCGGGCGCAGAGAGAGGGAGAGGGCGGCTCATTCCCATTCTAGGGTGCAGCGTGGGGCTTGTTGTGTTTCTCCATGTTCCCACATACACTCACAACCACAGGGTTGAGAGGGTAACAGGCAGGAAGGCCATGGGTCTCCAAATGGAGGAAATAGGCTGCAAGTGCCAGACATTTTTATCTCAGTTAAGCGGCAGGAGGAAACAAACGTGATATTTTTTTTTCCTTTTGTATATAAATTTAAAAGGTTTCTCTTAAAATGCTGTGTTGCCATGACACCTGGTTTTACCAGAAGCTAACTATTCTTAAACCTTGAGTTAACCAATACATTTTTTTTCTTATGGAAATGTTTGTCTTAAGCTATGTTAATGTACCCCAGATTCTGTCTTCATGTTCCACCAAATGGCTCAGAACCTACTTGACAAACCAGTATGTTATACTCAGATATTGTTCCCCTAATCTATGTAAACGAAACTATTTGGATGGCAATCTGCCCTTCTACAAGATTCAAGTCAATCATTTTATGGCCTGGGATGAATTATCTGATGCCATTCTGAGTTTTAACATATTCCTTTCTTTTCATTAACAGACTGCTAGTGACTGTATAACATCCAGATGAAGACTGCCCTTTTCTGATGCCTAAGTCAGAAGCTTTCTCTATCTCCTTTATACTTTAATAAAACTTTATTACACAAAAGCTCTGAGTGATCCAGCCTCGTCTCTGGCCCCGGATTGAATTCATCTCCTCCGGAGGCCAAGAATCCCGGTGTCTTATCGTTCTGCAACAACATTTCAGGGTGAGGCAGAGCAGGTGCAGAGAGAGAGAGGGCGGCTCACTCCCATTCTAGAGTGCGGTGTGGGGCTTGTGTTTCTTCATGTTCCCACATACACTCACAACCACAGGGTGAGGCAGAATGGGTGCAGAGAGAGAGAAGGTGGCTCATTCCCACTGTAGAGTGGGGTCTGGGGCCCAGATGCTTCTGAGAGCACAGGCCTGGCACTGGGTGGGCTCCTGGTAGCGAGGCTGGGTACCACTGGGCAGTAGAGATGGTGAAGGCGCAGGAGAAGGGGATGTAGCCACAGGGTCCCAGAGCCTCTCAGACTTTGCAGAGAGCTGTGGGCCGAGGGGTGATGGGCCCTGGAGCAATCCCCCCAGGACTCGGGGATCTTCAGCCAGCCAAGATGGTTAAAGAATGTGACTGACTGTGCAAAAGAGTTGTGGCCTGGTGAACTGCGCTGTCATCTGTCTGAATACAGATGGCATTAGCCAAGAGGGGAGCTGCAGACCACGGACCCCTGAGGATGTGCACTGCGTCAGCTGAACCTGAGGAGGGACCTCTGAGAGAGTGTGCTGAGTGGTCTGCGTAGACTGTCACTCAGACCCCCAATCCCTCTTCTCCAAGGCCACACTCACTGGTCAGTCTCCAGGGGGTGCTGAGACACCACAAACCAGTGACCAGGAAGGCGGGCCCGAGTGTCCTGGTGCTGGGAAGGCACAGCTTCCACTTTTTGGAAACTGATGGGTGGGCAAAGGGTCTGGTCAAGCATGAATTCTGATGTAAAGGACAGCTTCCTTGTGAGTTTGGTAAGTGTGCTGACCCCAATAGGAACATGGCAGGATGATACTATTTTAAACTTTTCTGTTACTATTATTTTAAAAATGTTTACTGGGCTGCGTTGGGTCTAAGTTGCAGTGCATGGGCTCTTTAGTTGTGGTACAACAGCTTAGTTGCTCCACGGCCTGTGGGGTCTCAGTTCTCTGACCAGCGGCATTGAACCCGTGTCCCCTGCAGCGCAAGCTGGACTCCTAGCCACTGGACGACCAGGGAGTCCCTGCATCATTATGGCAAAGTCTTCAGAGTCAGACAGGCCTGGGTTCCAACCCCAGCCTTGGTGGATCTCGCTCCATGTATCTCCTTAGGCAAGTTACTTTACTTGTCTTGTCTTAGTTTCTTTATCTCTAAAATGGGGATCATATCTACCCATCTTTGAAGCTAGTGAGCGTTATAAATAATAGTAATAGATAATATATATGAAGTGCTTACTGTGAGCCAGATGCTGTCCTAAACACTTCATATTAATATATATTAACTCATTTAATCCTCCCAACAGCCCCTCGAGGTGGGTATGCTACTATGCCCTTTTTGGGAGAGAAGATCGGGAGTGATCTTGGCTCAAGCAAGTCTCCCAAGAGAATGGCCTCAGACCCTAGCGACTGAGCTGCTTCCAGGCCAGCCTCATGCAGCCAGGTCCCCAGACACACTCTGCTGACTTCTGCTGACTTCCTGCGAGTCCAGACTGAGGGCCAAGCCCCTGGCTGGGGCACTGGCTCCAGGAAGGCCCAGTCACCCATGGTGCCCAAATGTTCACTTCCACCCAGGGTAGGCTCTGGGCTTTGGCTGCCCTGGCCTGGGCCAGGTGCCCAGAACAGGCAGCCCTGGCTGGACAGCTTTCTCTGGCTCTGGCCATGGAGACAGCAGGCGGCAGCAGCACTGCTGGATCCTGGCCGTAATGAGGCCTCATTAGTGGGATCCAGTTGTTCTAGCCCCACTCAGGGAGGCCGGCTCCCCCCGAGGACATCCAGATGATGCTGGGGTTCCCACCACCCCACTTCTTCCAGATATGCTGGCGCCTCATCTCACCAACTATCATCTTTGTAAGTTCCTCGCTGGTCCCTCCCCTGCTGTCCCCGTGGCAAGCATCCTTCTCTTGGGAACCACCAAGGAAGAGCATGAGCCCAACCATTAGGCCAGAGCTCCTCCTGGGGGCTCCGCACCTACAGCTCTGGTCACTGGAAGTCTGAGCAAAGCTGTATAGAGTCAGACAGGTGTGGAGACTCAGAAACACCTAAGCCCTGGCCTTGGGTTAGGAAGAGAGCACAGGGCCCTGTACTTGACAGAAGACAGTGCCCAGCTTCAGAAGGGGAAAATAGGCTGGCAGCAGCTGAGAGCCGGCCCTCCCTCCCTGGTATTTCCACCTGGCAACCCCCCAGAGGAGCCCCATGGGAATCATGGCTGACTTTGGCATTGGTCTCTGACAGCCTCACTGAGCTCGTGTCTCTAGTCCCTCACAGCCAAGGTGCCTGGAGTGCTCAGGATATGTGGTGTGAATGCATGTTCCAGAAGCAGACTGTGCAAGTCAGATATCAGCTCAGGATCCGGGACACCATCCTAAGCCACCCTGGAATAGGCTGGCTTGGGAGGGGGAGTTCTGGGTTTCCACCAGTATTCAACACCTGTAAGACAGACCCCCCAGCAGGGAGTAGAGGTGGTGGAGGGAAAGCCCACCATGACCAGGAACAATATACTAAGTCTCGTGATACAACTCTCCATGGTTTCATTATTATCCCCACTTTACAGATGAGGAAACTGAGGCCCTGAGATGTTAAGTAATTGAACCAAGGTTATATGGCTTCTAAGAGTCAGAGCCCTCATGCGAAGCAGGTGCTCTGATCTGGAGCGTGTGTGCTGGGCCCATGGTGCACTAGACACAAGTTTAGGAGGAGGAGTGGTCTGTGGACTGCAAACCTTCTGATTGTGTTCCTTTATGACCAGGGTGAGAAGTCGGGGGTGGGGGTGAGGGGTGGAGGGTAGGGATTTGCTAGCATAATGGTCCCTCCACAGAGAAGAGTCAGGGCTGTCTCTGAGTGACAGGGGGCTCAGCCCAATGGTCAGGGTAGTGTCTGGAGTCGTGCCCCACGTCGTGCCAGTTCCTCTGTGTCACAGAGAGGTCAGCACTGGATTCCACATTGGCTCATGTTTCTGGGGAGAAAATTAAAAAAAGGCCCCTGAGGGCTGAGACCTCCATCACATGGGGTGTGGAATCTTCCGGAGCAGGACACAGGCACCAGCTCTGGCCACTGGCCCAGCTTTGAACCAGGAGGAGCGGAAGTGTCCTGTAAGCGGTGGGAGGCGGGGGAGCGCAGTCGCCACCGCCAAGCACAGTGCCGTCGGGGGTTGTGGCTTTGGCCCAGGACCTGCCCTGGGGGAGCTCATCCTCCAGGGCTCCCAGGAAGCTGCCGCCCTGTGGGGAGACCCAGGGCGCCGCCCAGACAGGGCAGGAGGCAGCAGGCAGCCTGGGTCCGGTGTCTCCAGGAAACTGAGGCAAAGCCCGCAGGGTCAGGGGCTCCTTTCCTCATTGTATCTGTCTGTTTGACTGAAAACCAGCAATGACATATTTTTCTTTC